AAAGATATAAGTAGCGTAATCGCACGTTCGACCTTTGCAGTCACGCGCGTATCGTATCATGGAAATTGTAAAACTAGTCGCACACTTTGGATCGGAGTAGCGACGACGCTACTACCTGTTGACGGGTAATGTGAACGAACATTGTTATATGTATACTTTAATTTGTCATTCTTGTTATGAGAATAGTATAAATAAAAATAAGCGCAGGCTTGTCTCGAAATATAGAAATCTAATATCCCAGATGGTGGAACTTCTAAAAGACGTTTTAAAAACGCCTAAAAGATATCTGAACAAGTAGGAAGTCTTTTAGACATCCATAAGATGTTTTTGAGAAGTTTTTTGGAAATTTCCGCTACCTGAGACTCGATGGTTAATAAAATTGACAAATTCTGCTTTGACCCTTGAGATTAATCTTAATTCTCAAACAAATATTAATTCGAATGTATGTTGAAGAGTCTGTGGTTTCTTCTTAAAGATCATTCTATATCTGTGAATATATGAAATTAATAAGAAAACAGCTGCTAATCACTGAAAATATTTCCCATTTTTATGTCATAGCACAAAAGGTAATTATAACTTATAAAGAAATAAGTGGAAATGTACAGTTTCTCGATTATTACGCTCCTTTTCACTCATACCAGGTAAAATTGTTGAATATTTATTGCGCATCGAAATTAATTTCGTTCGATAACTAACAGCCTTGGCACATAAAAGTTAAATTTCCCATCAAAGTAGAGACAAGAACTAAATTTTGACCATTTTGTGATTTGTTAAACTGATAAAGTGTACAATACATCTTGCAAGTCTTGATTCGACCGTTTCCAACAGACTTACGGTGGTTTCACTGACAAAAAGTCATTCACATATGGATGTCATCATCCAAAGATTCCACGTACATATTATCACTATCATGATCTAAAACGACTATACGCATACACGTGAACTATTTATTCAAATCTTTCAGATGCAAAAGCTTATTGAGGGAAATATTTCTTGCGTTGATTTTATTCGTACGCAGACAATTCAGAAATGTTTAAGAAATATTGTAACAGATCAATTTTGAGATCACGGCCGACTAACTCTTTTGAGAAAGAAGAGAGACTTTTGAAAGGATTCTTCACCAATTCTCCATATCGTGTCTCTTCTTCTTTCGCTTTTTACATATCTCTTGGGGAAAAATTAATTAATAACTTCCATTTGATTATTTAAGGGATCGAATTGATAAATAAATTAAAAAAAGAAAAGATCCGAAGCGCCATTCCGTTGTTTCGATTTTGCCTAAAAATTCGCCGCATAGGCGACCGCTCGAATATCTCTGCGTATGTATCTTTGATCGAGTGCAAGTCAGCTTAAAAGTTTTGATTCATCGGCACAAAAAATAGCAGTATATCGCGCGACGCTCGTCAGCTGCGCGCGCTCGTGCGCATTATGCCGCACGTAACGTTATTCGCGAGTCCGAAGGTTATCGCCACTATACGCTATCGCTACTCGCTCGTACGTGCGTGTTGTCACGTGAAGGAGGCTCGTCCGGAGGCTCGACCAATCGCGTCATAGAAAGGCAAGACGGCGCCCACTACGGGCGACCTCGCTAACCGTGATTAATTATTATCGTTTCTTCGAACGCGCGGTTATCGCGGTTAGGCAAGAAGGCTTTTTGCGAGAAAGAGCTCACATATCGACTCTTGTCCCTGGAATCTTGATACCGTGACAAGAGCGAATGCCTTCAATGAGGATGCGCGGATGAGAACGTGACGTCGACGTTCTCTCGCACGAGAATGTTCGTTCCTCCGCGCGATTGCCATGAGAATTTCGCGGAATCCAAGACGAAGCGCTTTATGACTCGTCGTAAGTCTAAATGATGTTGCGTAACGGGGAGTTGCTGTAAGCCTGATTCTAGAATAACGCAAAAAACACATCGTATACGACTCTGTAACACAATCCGGTCTGCATATGATTAGAATACTGAAGGTAAAAATGGAATAGAAACAATCGAACTTTTTGCGCAAAACGGAGAGACGGAATTACATAAATTACACATCTTTTTCTTAGAAACGAACTACGAGAAAACCGAATGATATAGAAATGGTGAAGAGAATATACATTGCGATATAAATATATCGCTAAAAATAATTATTAGTTATACTAGTAATCAATCAGATTCTATAGCAGAATTATAGGTTTGAAGAGCCGTAAATATTGCGAGCCCAAGAATCTATATGAGCAATTGCGAATCGAATAATCAATTTTACATTCGGAATTGGAACGCAGTACTAGTACTATTTCAGCCGCTTATAACTGTTTATATATCTTGGTATACCAAAATTCTTAAATTCTGCAAACCTGTAAGGACTGGATTTTTATACTTTTTATATTTTTTTATATTAAATTCTATATAACTTATATCAACTTTGTTAAATTATCAAGAATTTATTAAGAACATTACTTATCAAGGAAACTAACTTATCAAGAAAATATATACTCATGAAGAAAAACTCTTAAGTTAACTTATCAAGAAAAAGTTTTAAAAGAAGAAAGAACGTTTCGAAATATCTATCATATCTATAAAAATATCATTAAGTTTTCTACAAAAAATTATTACATCACATAATAAATGTAAACACTATTTTAATTAAGAGGATTGTCATGATTTAGCAAAAATTAAACAGTCACCGTGACTGCTTAAGTGCGTCACAATGTGCACAATCTAAATATATCGAAGTTGGTAACTAAATATCACAAACACTTAAATTACATCTCATTTATTCGGGTGTTTCTTTATTTAAAAATAGAAATTAACTAATTAAAGATTACTAATTACTTACCGGGACGGCGAATTTTATAGCCGTAATTTAAATATTGTTTCTCTCTCTCTCTCTCTCTCTCTCTCTCTCTCTCTCTCTCTCTCTCTCTTCTTTTTTCGTCTCTTTCTAATTTCAGTTTCAGGAGGAAATGAGAAAATCTTGATCGAATTAATATCACAAATTGGCAAACTTTTGCGACATTCTAATTGTCTTAACTGAAAGTTAAATCTAATCGCATGTTTAGAAAATATATGATGTTGTCAACACTGGCACTGATTAGCTGAGAGCACTACAATCTATCACACAAGAGCGTATCGGCGATATCTTTGAAACTTGATACCTAATGAAAGCGAGACCATGATAATCTAGATATATACAGTCTTCTCGAATACGCGTTAGCTCAGTTTCTTTTAGATACATTACGTCATTAAAGAGAACAGAGCTTCAGAGATGAGTACGTATACAAAATGGTTTGAGGTGGTCCTCCTGTGTAGTCACCCAAAAGGGCCAAAAGTGAGTTTTTCAAGTGCTGCTAAATACCTGCATAAGTCGTCATAATTCATTAAGAAGTGAGTAAAACGATATAAAGAAACAAAAAGTGTCGATGACTTTCCAGATCGCGGCTCAAAGCGAAAGACTACCAACCGGGAAGATAAAGTGATTCTTCGACTTTTTGAGAAAAATCCGAATCTTTCTTTACGAAGAGGACTTTTGGCAAAACAGGGTGCAAACATTAGTATAATGACACTGAAACGTCGTTTCGAAGAGCATAACGTTAAATGGCATAGTACAATACCCAAACCATTACTTTCAAAAAAGCATGTCAAAAATTGTCTGGCGTGAGCTCATCAAAATATCGATCGTGACTGGAGTAACATAGTGTTCAGTGATGAATCTTCCTTTTGGTCCTGGTGTCCTATTAGGCATGCTTAGTCTAGCCGTGGACAACCAGTAATAAAAATAAATGTAAAACTCCTGACAAAAGTGCACGTTTGGGGTTGTTTTAACGTACAGGATTTCGGGAGTTTGTGCGTCTTCACAGACGATTTGAATGTACAAAAAATGTTAAAATTGTATCAAAGGGGACTTCTCACATCAGTTAAACGTTTAGTAAAACTTAAGACGAATGGATTTTGCAAGAAGATAACGACCCGAAACATCGAAGTCGAATCTGTACCGAATGGAAAGCGAAAAATTGTATCATCGTACTGAATTGACCTTTCCAGTCCTCTGATGCAAATCCGATAGAAAATTTATGGCCCATAATGAAGCACAAACTTAAGGGAAAACGTATATTAAAATTAAAAAAACTTAATAAAACGTGGAGATCAATCAAATATGGAGATCGCTACTTATGTCATACGCCGAGAAATTGATAGAAAGTATACCAAGAAGATGCGAAGCTATAATTGTTGACAAAGGAGATTGGACTTACTATTAAAGTAAGAACATATTAGTGTTTTCTATATACTTTCGATTTATCGAAATAAATTTACAAATAAATTTATATTTAAAGAGATATTGCCAACGCTCTTGTATAACAGACTGTATTTACATGTCCGCTATGACGTCTAAGCATGATAAATATGTCGTCATATTTGACAACAGTGTTATCTGATGTTTACATTCGCTTCGGACGTTGATCACGACTGTTCGGCGAGTTGACGGAGCGCACTTTGTACTTCGAGACGACGATCAAAGTAATCTTTGATCTGTCTCCGAAGTGTCATTTCCGATTATCTGACAATCGATACATGTATTTTTTTGTGTATGTCTCTCACATGATTCACTCTCAATAATTTGGTACCTACTGTGAGAATGCAATTTTCATCGCGAAATTAACTATAAGCTTGTCATACATGTGTTAAAATGGGATAAATACGATTTGTGCCAATTAATCGTTCGATCATTGTCATAGTTATTCATTGTTACATACATTGTTATTTTCTTATAATATGTATATTCTTACATACGATGTACTATGTACTATGTAACAACATAAAACTGATACGAAAAACTTTCCTTTTTAGCATATTTTAAATAGTCTTTTAAACGACAACGAAACAGATGATGCATTCACGAAAAATTCCATGTCAAGCAGTAAAATCATTTCAACTGGCAATGTAATTTTTTATTTATTTAAATACATAAAATAAGGAATAATCTATTTATATAATGTTACATTATTCATATAATTATATCAAATATACAGTTCGACGTCTCATTTAGAGAAAATAAATTGGCCGACCTATCCCCATTAATATATAGATAAAAATCATATCTTATAATAAAGGATAATCATTACATTGACAACAATGAAATTCAAATGAAAGTCAAATGAAATTGTAAAAATAAAAGATTGTGATGTTAAAAAAAATTACGAAGGAACAATCGATTTCTTTACGAGCTTTTTTATGATTCACAAGCCTTAAAGGAGGAATCTTGCGTACATATGTACGACTGTATAGCAGGTGTAATAGCCGTTCGAAATTTAACAACGAGAAATTTCAATCATTATGAACTCCGTCGTATCTCTGAAACTTCCAAAAAGCGAAGTGAACCTTGGACTTTGATAGGATGTTTCTCGACGATAACAAGAACTCGTCACAACAGTCGAATAATCCCACCTTGAAAAAATGAGAAGCGGCAGATTATTTCCCCATTCGCTGGATAGACCATTCTTGCTGGCAAAGCGGACATCGATTGTTTTGTTTGACCCAGAGTGACATGCAGCAATAGTGGAATGAATGATTACATTCGCCCCACACAACCACACAATCTTGTCGACCGTACCACTCCTTCTTACTTTCAGCTTGGCATCGCAAGCAGGCATCTAAAAATTAAAAAATAAACATACACATTAATAAGTGATATTCTGTGTACGGAATGCCTTAAAATTAATAGATAATTCATATTACAATTTGTTTCTTCTTAGCTCGGAATAAATTTTTTTTTAAGGAAAAAGTTAAGACCATCATATTTTGGAGCACTTAAAATTTCAATATTTGATATTGTGATCTAACTAAGACGCACATTAAAATTCTGAAATTCTGCGTTTTTTAACATTTTACCTAACAACATCACTAGTCAAAAAAATGTTAAAATTCTACAAGTTATATAGAAAATGAACTTAAAATATCTATTTCTGATAAACATGTATTAGAAATCTATTAGAATTCTTTTAAAACTTACAACTTTAAAAAAATTTATTAACAGGCTCCTGCAAAGTATTAAATAACATAGAACGATATTTTATCATATCACAAGATGTCTCAATGGACAAATCTCATTTGAGCACGTAGAACGGATTGAGATGAACAAAAAAGTATCCTGTATCATTTTGCAAACAAAATGGCCATTTTCAAAAATCAATAACTCAAAATTTTGCATGTTGTTTTGTATTTTTGTTTATATATATATAATAAATATATGATATAATCCATTCTCTCTCTAAAACAACATACATTCGCATAAATTCTGCTAAGAAATAAATAATCTCGCAGGGAAATCCGACGATTACTTTCTTCTACAGGCTACATATTAATGAAAGCAAAGTCGCCATCTAATTATAATATTGTAATGGATATCGTGAGAACGTACTATCGTGGCGATGAATCGTAGAAGTCAATAACTCTTCAAATTGGTCCTTGAACATTGAATGACGATGAAATCAAGAACAACACTTGTTGCGAAATATTATGGAAATAGCGATTAATGACGTCACGAAACCACGTTTGAACGTGGTTAAAAATTAACAAGAGATTGAGTTACATTTAAAACAAAAACTGATAAAATGCTGAAGTCGAGTGTGTGATTAGCGCGTCGCGACCTTGCGTGCTGAAGAAACAATCGAAGAACAACCATTCGCATTATAAAATAAAAAGAGAGATTATGTTAATTAAGAAGGCTCTTCTTCAAATCTTCTGTATGTATTGCGCAAAATTGAGATTCGCGTGTAGCTTCAAAAGGGCGACTTTCACCCTTTTTAATTAACGCAATTTGCAGTTGTCAAGGGCGCATTTGCGCGCTAAACGGGTGACAATAACGTTACGTTTCATTCTATTTAACTGCGTTATAATCATATCGTCAGATTTATCATTTAATGTACTGTATGTTTGGCATTATTAAATCGTAAAGAAGTTTCTTTCGTATTTGCAAAAGTTTAACGTCCATTAAAAATTTCATCTCTTATTACTTATATTTATTTTCTTTTTTCTTTATTAATAGTTGTACTATAGCGTGGCATATCAGACAGCGCACTGGTCTACTGTGCTTGCGGTCCTGGGTTCGATCCCGGTAGAAACCAAAATATTTACGCTCGTGTCTTCTCTCGGAAAGAAGTGGCGACCTACCGAGAGTATCTTTGCCATGAACGCCTCTCTAGAAATTTGCCATTCGGAACCGGCGTTAAACTGTAGGTCCCATATGCCTGTGTATAATCAGCGTGCGCACTACAGACATATGAGAGAGGTCACCACACCGGAATATGGGCAATAAGACTAGGAAGAAGAAGAATAGTTGTACAAACATACACATAGATATATTATATTAATATTTTAAACACAAAGTGCAAGTGTTTTTATCTCTCATGTCACTTTTCAAAGTTGCATTTCTATCTTGAACTATAAAATGTGCAAATATATAAAGAAACGAAGGTAAACAATTGAAAGAAAGAAAAAGGGAGGGGGAATTAATGTTCGAATATCGATTCGCTCTTTCCCTGGATAATTACGTGCTGATTTTCGTGATTTAGCATAATTACATCTATGCAAGGTTTTCGCTTGATGTCACGTTCATCCCTTATCAAAATATCGCTGTGCATGGAATGAAAACGTGCTCGTGCTCAGCAAAAACACGATGTAATCGAGCATAGACATTCCATGATGAACGGAAGAATACCAGAGAACGAGGAAGATTCCTCATCGAAACCTGTACACTATAAAGGCACTAAAGCGCAGAGGAGATATAATGTGCAAGATGACATTTAGCCTTCGAAGCGGCACCGAGTAAAATTCTATTTGCATTGTGATAAGAACCGCGTTTGAAATGTCGGTGATTACGTCAAAGAGACAAATTACAAAGAACTTACTTCTAGCTTCATATTTATGCTAAATACATAGGAAGAATAAGTAAAACGTCTAAATAAAGAGTCGTGATGAACCGTAAACACGATAAACGTCAATAATTGCGGCACAAAACAGCACCAGATATTCCTTTCTTCATTTCCCACAATAGAATTGTCGGGATTGTCAGAAATGTTAAATAAAAAGTTTCATTATTTATCGACTTTCAGACTTCGAGATTTTAATTGAACAAATATATCGAAAGTACGATAAATAAAATGGGCTAATTTTGGCCCCCGGAGTAGCAAATAAAAACAGTATATAAAAGTAATGATATTTTTTGTAGTTGTTGAACTGCTGAATTTGATACTGACCATTAAAAAATTTCAAGTCAAGAAAGTATTAAAATTAACATACGAAGCTATTGGCACATTGCATGCGGGAAACGTACTTTTACGTTTTTTGCAGTCTGTCATTAGAGCGCGGGTCACATAAAAGTACGTATTTAGTAGATTTATGCTGGAGAGCGGGTATCGTATAAATACGATGGGCATTGTAAGTGTATACGGTGTTTGTGTTTGTGTTGCTAGGCAACGATTTCCATTGTTTCTTTTTAGAAATTTCGTTTGTCGAGTTACTTGGTTTAATTGAAAATTTTACTGAATACCAAACTCCCGCGAAATTCACGAAAAACGCCCGTTACACGCATAAGTCCGCGGCGAAATATACCCGCATGCAATGTGTTAAATATATAAGCTGTTATGAGAGATCGTTATTACTTACACACGAACTCGTATTACTTCTTATTGTTTACCAACAAGAACACGGTGTGTCTGAACTATCGTGATGTCATAATATCATTATCTACGCGGAACACCATAACAATATCTATCAAACATATTAAAATAATAATTACTCGAAAAGAATATTATAGCTTCTTTTTTGTGTAAATTCTTTTCAACTTTATCATGTATTCTAATAGCACGGGAATAAACTGTCAGTGGAATTTGTCTTACTAAGAAACAATAAATTTGGTAATAGTAAGCTTCGATTTCTAAAATACACATACAAAACGAAAGGATAATAAAGTAAAATGTTGATATATTCCTTGGTTACAAAATTTTATAGTCATTTTTATTATAAAATTATCTCTCCATGTACTTATACTGAAATTGATATTACTCTTTTTCACAATTTCTCTTTTCTGCTTTTTATTTTCTAATATTAAACAAATATAGTATAAGTGAATTTTGATGAATGCACGCATTAAGAATTCATTTTCCAATAAGAAAATTTAATGTCTCTATTCAATAATTTATGTAATTTGTCGGGCGGTCTCTATTCAATAACTTATGTAATTTATCGGACGGTAAATGAGATTTCACTCTGTCGGATCAGTCGGGGATTAATTTCGACGAGTTCGGTGCAAAGATAAAGATGACTCGCCTTTAACTTCACACGCAACAGGCCTGCCCTCCAAATCCTCGCACATAAACACATTTCGCCAAGTCGGCGACACGCTCGATACAACTCAATCAAGGCCTCGATCGACGAGAAAGAAATTTCCGTCGTTATCTGTCGTCTGTTGGCACTTCGTCGATTAATTCCCATCCGGGAGAGGGTATGAGACGGGGCGACAACTTCTCGTTGACCCCCTCCGGGGGATCGGAGCAAGCATACTGGACGTGCCCCCCAGACCTAAGCAAACCATTGGGCCAATTAGCCGCGACGACGTCGGCGACGATCGGCACGATAAGCGCGCATGTATAATCGTTCGACTAGGACCGTCGCTGACAAAAAGTTGTTTCGAGAATGCGAAATGTTGAATAATAAACTATGCACAATGAAAGAAGAACGGTTGAATTAAATGGTTAGCTCCTTGCTTGGGCATCGAAAATACAAACTATTTTTTGACAATTTTTTGGGGGGAGGGAGGGAATAAAATAAATAGAAAATCTATTTGAAAGTCATAAGCCGTCCCAAAGATTATTTTTAAAACCCTAAACTATCGATTAAATAAAAAAGTTCCATTTTTCGAAATCTCCAGAGAAGAAACCAGAAGAAACATTAGTAGCCGAAAATAATTATAACATTAGTGGGATTTTTCTCTAATGTATATTCTGCAAATCGTAGAAAATCTGTGAATTAAAATTATTTAAAAAAGAAAAACATGAAATTATAATTTTATATAATTGAATCTTCGTTATAGTTTTTCGAAAAAAAAAACCAATAATCTTTGATTTCTCCAGAACGCTCTTGCAACTTCGCACAATGATGATATGTTACTTTCGTAATTATCGTAATTAATAGCCGTAGATTCTGCAGTTCCTCAAACGCTATATTGTCGCGACTAATCCTTGATTCTCATGGAATTTTCCAAACTTATCGATATTATTAAATCTTACATTGTTGCCAGCGTAAGTCGCATTACGTCATGATAAATTTACTTCAATCGCATTACACTGACGTAACGTTCGCTAATATATTTCAATTAAATCAGGTTGCATACGCAAAGCGTTTCACTTCATCAATCACCACTTTGGCCCTATTTGCAAGAGGCTTTCTGGTCTATGTGCCTTGTCAAACACTTCGCGCATTGTAACATTCGAATTAATAATATAACATGACACTTGATAAAATGTAAGAAATTTCTCAGAAACTCGTAAATTATCCAAATATCAATAATAATCGTATCAATAGCGATACCGCAAATAATATCAAAAATAAAAATAATAATCAATAATATTACAGTATCAATAATATTACGGAT